AAAAAAAAAAAAAAAAAAAAAAAAATTAGAAGTGAAAATGCTGAAAGACTTCAGCTTCTATTTTTTATTTACTATGAATAAGAGAAAAAAGATAGATATGTTAATTATTGGCGGTTAAAGTTATAGATTGAAAATAATTAGTGGAACTTAGGAAAATTATTGTGTAAAACATTACAGAATTTTTAGGGAAAAAGGAAAGGAAAGATTCTTTTATTTCATGAATAAAATTTGACTCTCAATGGCCAACAGTCCCAACTGAAACTGCAGGAAGCAAACCTAAGAAGAGGAAACGTTCGGAGGAAATCTCGATCGAAGAATTCAGAGGATCGCAGGTTGAATTCCCTCCGATAGGGTACTGCTCCATCTTTGGTAGCTCGGCCACCCCCTTTTTGATCCAAAATGGCCTCTAATGGCGTAATTCCGGTGCGTTTCTTCGTTTTTTCGGTGTATGATTTTCTGGGGTGGATGTTTGTAGGCTCAACTTGATTTGAATTTGTGATTCTTGTTGGAGCAGAGACCGGAAGATGCCGGGAACAGCTTGGAAAAGATCAAGCGGCAGCTGGCCTCTGGTTCTGGTCGGAATTTGTTGCAGGGTCCTCTTCTCAAGCGATCTGAAACAGTACGATCATTAATTCACGAATTTCAACTCTCTATTTCTCTCTTGTTGTTTTGAATTGATGTTTACTGTTGAATTTCGCTGGCTTTGGTGCTTCCATTTGAATCTGTCTCGTCGAATTTTCGGTGTCTAAATTGCCCAGCAATTGCTTGTGAATTTTGTTTGGCAAAGTGGGATAGTTTTGTGTATTCTATAGATTTGAGAGAAATTTTCTTTCTTTCTATTCATTCCTCCCCCCTTTCCTATGTGACCTGGGTGGCTCCAATAGCTGAAGTTCGCTTGTCATAGTCAAGATAAGGAAACTTACCTTGACAACTCTTTTGGTATTGATTTTCCATTTCTAATGGGATTTTCATATTTTTCCCACGAAGCATGTCTTTTGGTGGGGAAATTAGGCTGTCTTTAGCAATGTTTCAAGACTATATTAATTACTCTAATGTTCATGAAACTCATTAAGATAATAGGGGGTCGCTATTTGTATTTCAAGGACGAGAAATGTGAGATACACCGATTTTCATGCTTTAGCTGTCTGCAAATTTTTGTTTATGAGTATGGCCGTTGACGTCCTAATATTCTCAGATTGTTTTATGGTGCGCTAATGTAGTATTACGCTCACATTTAAAGATCAAGCTTCTATTTTCTGCATCTTTTTATTCTTAGACTTCATCCCAGTTGCAAAGAGCCTCCACCCTAGATAATCTGATGTTCTCTATTTCGATTTTCACAGTTGAGGAAATGGAATGAGCGATGGGTTATTTTGGACCCAACAACAGGGAAAATGGAGTACAAGTAACCACATTTCCAATATTTACACTTTTTTTTTTCTCTCCTGCTTGGTTCAATGTATTATACAATATTCGAAATAACTCATACTTTTTTCTCCTTCCTTTTGCAACTTCTACATAGAATTAGGAGAAACGAGGCAACTATCAAAGGAACTATTATATTTGATGCAAATAGCAATATTACTGTTTCTCCTGTGAATTTCCAGTAAGTTTGATTCTTAAAGGTCAACTATAAATTTCATCTAGTATTTTGCTTGATTCATCATGGCTTTGATAATTACTAATTTATCTTTTCTCTTCATTTTTTTTTTCTAGTGGGCTACCAAAGTATGATGGTTGCTGTATCTGTATCCTCATTATTTTCCTACTTTATTTTGTCGCAAATTGGGGAAAATATTTACTCAAGTGTTATTATTGACAATTTAAATCAAAGTTATGTCTGAACTGGTTTACTACAGTTGCAAACTTCTTAACTATGCCTTCAGATATCGGCACACCCCAGAAACAAGATTACTTCCTCTGTGCAGAGACTCCTGGTGCAGCTAGAGCTTGGGTGTCTACCTTGCAGTATGTCATTCAAATATGCCTCATATCTGTGATATTCTTTGTGCTTCATCTTTATGAACCCACATAAAGCACATTTAGTTCTATACATTTTCATGCCTAATATTATCATGTCTGTAAGTTCATACATAAAATTATAGTTTCTTAACCTCCATTGGAGTATCTGAGATTTTATGGATAAACAAAAATTGCAGAAAAAGAAGATAAGTTATCTGTTATCCTCTATAAAGAAACTGAAAACTAAAGTATCAATCATCATTTATTAATGCATAGTTATAGGATTGCAAACTAACCGATGTATAACCTGGAAGTGGTTGCATTCTTGAATTTTGTAAACATCAATTTCCTTTTCTTCATTTAATTAAAATATTTTTCTTTTAATAAGAACCCAATACATTCCCTCTACAATCAAATACAAAACAGGAAGATGAGAAATCTCCCGGCCACCAAGGAGCTTTTAAAATTGCACCCTCATCAGAAAAAGTAAAACAGGGTCTATGAGTGTGTAAAAAAGGAGCAAGAAACCCCTTAAGATCCCAAAAGTCACAAACTCTTCTAGAAGTGTCGTGAAGATTCTTTTGTCTCTTTCCACCTAAAGCTCTCACAAAAAAGCTTTAATAGCATTCCTCCAAAGAACTCTAGCCTTTTGAGCAAATTACTGAATAACAGCTGTAATACAGTCTGCTTTCAGTTTTTATGAGAACACCATTTCAACCTGAAGGCTTTTCTGAACATTGTTTGATGACTCCCCATGGTGGGCTTGTATTCTATGATGATTCGTCTTATATAAGGAAGCAATTTAATAATTTTGCTATTTTTTCCTTAGATTCATAGTATGGCTGATACAGTGTCTTAATATTATTTTTTTCACCTTCTCCAATCAGTGCAACCCAGTTGGTCCTTAAGGCCCATAAAGAGGCTGTAAATTCCTTGAGTGGCAATGGCTCTGCAAAATTAGGAACAGTAGCCACAGTAGTTGCTGCTGCCAATTCAACCGCCCAGGAAAGTTCCAAAGAAATTGAAAGAGCAATGCAGATTTCTTTAAGAAATACTCTGGGAATCATCGCAAATAAAACAACTGATGGCGCAATGGATGATCTAGCGATTATGAAGGTAAAGCATCTGACCATATTTGAAATGCATGTCTAACATTTTCTCCATACTGAGCTCTGCTTTTGCACGTTAGTTTAGCTCATGGGGTGAAATGCTTCATTTTTTTTAAGTTGTTCGCTTTCTTGTTCCAGCCTTGTGCTCTTCTGACACGACGACTAAAGATTCTAAATTGATTTGTTGCACTTTAATGTTCTACCATCTGCCATTTATTTGATGGTCAATATGTGGTCCTATGCCAAATTCTGGAGGTGGATGAACCTTCATATAATTTAGGTTTCTATCCGTATAACTTAAAAAATGTTGAGTTTATCAGTGGTTGGAATATGCTAGAATCTTCCCCTTCCTATGTTCATTTATTTATTTATTTATTTTGATTGTTTCTTCTCTATTTTTAAAGAGCGGTTTTTAAATGTGGATTTTTTATTTTGGTCTCGTTCTTTCTGGATTAGCGTAGGACTCAGGTATAACCAGTGGGAATATATTATTTACGGTGATAATATCATTAAATATAGTGTACGGCATGTCTTTTGGTGTTCCCTTCTTTTGTAGTTATTTGGTGGGGTTTTCTCTACCCTTGGCTCGTAGGCTGTTCTTCTTGGCCTGCTTTTGGTAGATGCCTTTTTTTTGTTATATATACAGGCAGACAATTCAATGTATAATTATCTGAATTAGATGCTAGGCTTTAGACTACACTTCTTTCTTGTTATAGGAAAGTTTTCATTTCCACAACAAAAACTATGTAGGTCTTGAACATAGAACCCTCGTTTTGGATCATGTTGGTTGTGCAAGACTGCTACTCCTTGTATGAGGCTGAATTCCTGGAGACATGATGAACAACAAATGTAGTATGCTGTAGGCCCTCTGGCATTTCATTAAGTTGTTTATCTCCATATTTATTCAGGAAACACTACGAGTTAAGGACGAGGAACTACGGAATATGGCTCGTGATCTCCGTGCACGAGATTCAACAATTAACGATATTGCTGAAAAATTATCTGAGACAGCTGAAGCTGCAGAGGCTGCTGCATCTGCAGCCCATATGATGGATAAACAAAGGAAAATTGTTTGTGCAGAAATTCAACGTATAAAAGAAGATTCTGAGAAGCAACTGGATGCATCCATGTTGAAGGTACTGCTTTCTTTATAATACGACACTTAATTAGAATTCATAGAAGGGCCTGTGCCATATCTGTCATTATGGCTTCCTTGATATATTTTCAAATTAGGTTATGTTTATGACTTTCACTTCCACTTCCATTTCCAGCTCAAAGAATATGAAGTAAAATTTATTGAAATGAGTAGAGAAAGAGATCAGTTGAAAAAACAAAGAGATGCTGCTAATCAGGAAGCAGTTATGTGGCGATCTGAGCTTGCAAAAGCTAGAGAGCAGGTTGTGATTCTCGAAGGTGCTGTTGTGAGAGGGGAGGAGAAAATCAGGGTTGCAGAAGCAGATGCTGAAGCAAGAATAAAGGAGGCCAAACAGAAAGAGTTAGCTGCTTTGCAGGAGAAGCAGGAGCTTATGGCATATATAAATAGGCTACAAGCACAAATTCAGAGGTTTATCATCTTTACCCCTTCTAGAGTTTCTTACTTGGATGCAGTTGTGTCTTTTCCCTCTCCATAGCTGTTGATTGATTAAGTTGCACGTGTTACTCTTTTGCTATCTGTTAAATTTACAACGTCCTCTTTCATGGGAGCTATTACCCTGTTGATCAGCCTTTTTACACATTATATAGTTGCATTATTTAACCATTATTTGTCTGGGTAATAGATCCAAAATTATTTTGAACCTCTTTAAAATCAATGATTTTACTTTTGCATTTTTTAGGGAAAAAAGAAAAGAAATATCTACATATACACACTGTAGTTGACCTTTTGTTTTGCTTTAAAAAATATTTTAAGAACTTACTTTTTTTTTGGAAATTCGACTGACTTTTCCAGAGTGTTTTCTAAAGTAGATAAGAAAAACAAAGTTGTAAGCAGACCACCCTTAAAGACTATAAATGAAGCTTTGTCTTCTCTCAACTCCACATCGATCAATACTGTATCTTAAATTTTATTGTTGAAAATGTATCATCTTTAGGTTTTACTAGCTTGATTTGAAAGGATTCATTTGATGCAACTTCTTATGGCTAGTAAACTTTAATGTGATTTTATTTTTTGTCTGCCTCGCAGACAACATATACAAGTTTTTGAGGAGAAGATGGAATCTTGCCCAGGTAACAATAGTTCTCTGCTAACGAAGCACGTTGACTCGTCGGACGATAATGTGGATAAAGCATGCTTGAGCGACTCTAGAGCGATACCAGCCTCTGGTGAGGTGAACCTACGCCCAATTGGAGATGGGGAATGGAGTGATATTCAGACAACAGAATCAAGAATCGCTGATGTTAGAGAAATCGCTGCAGAAACTGAAGGAAGCAGCTTAGATATTACTGTTGTTAGCCAACCAATCAGCAGCCAGCATGAGCAAGATGTGAGCTCTTCGAATCAGCCTTAAATTCAACATAATACAAAACATAAAATGCATGTCAGATTAGCATCCACCACATCTAGCTGAGAAAAATGCGAACTCTATCTTTTGCATTATTTTCTGTGGGAGTAATATTCAATTATTTGACTGACTGGTCTGATGTTTGTGAGTGTACATTTCTTGGAGTTTAGATGCTTAAGTTTTAACAGAATGTGTTCTGTTGTGTGAGCCAATTGATCAATGATTTAAACTTTTGTGTAGAGAGCCAGTAGATGTAAATCTAGAGAACGAAGAACATTGATTCTGAGTGTCTCTATTGATGGTCAGCTTCAATCTTGTGGAATCTCCTCCCAAATTACTCACTGGGATGCCATCTGAATTTTCTACACAACATTTTCTATAAGATTTCAGATTTAGTTAGAAATCAAAACAATTCAAAAGATATGATCCTTGCTTTTGAAGGGCCGACTTCAATTTTTCTATATGATTTCAAATTTAGTTTATAAGCACCGAGTCAATTCATCGTCAATTATCAAACAAGGTTTACAAGCTCAAACCCATAAACAAGAAGTTGCAAAGGCTGCTGCTGCATAACGCAAGTATTTCTTTTTACAAAAAAGGTAAACTGTGAAACATTCAGCCACTTCTTCCAAGTTCCATTTCGTTGTAGAAAACTCTCAACTGACATGAGATACGATGATAGCACTTTCAAACTATGGATTACAGGATGAAGGTACCACTCAGTAGGATTGGATCACACGGCCGTAAAAGAATGTGTACTAGTTTTATCAGTATGATACCACTGAACTGGGTTGGATTGAAGATTGCAGCCGTGAGAGTGCTGTATCATCTTCTTCATCAAAACCTACAAGCTTTCCTTCGAAATTCTTCCTGCATAACCATCAACAGAAGGGAGGATAAAAGATTTGAAACAGTTTGATAAAATTTCCAAGAATCAAGACTGTTGGTTGTCATTAAATACATGCTTAAGAAACATACTTCAAGCCCATCTACTTTGGCCTATTACGTATTGCCGTCAGCTTAACGGTTTGGGAGAGGTTTTCACACCCTTATAAAAAATATTTCGTTCCCCTTCCCAATCGATGTGGGATCTCACAATTCACCCCCTTTGGGGGCCCAGCGTCCTTGCAGGCACACTGTCTAGCGTCTAGCTCTGATAGCATTTATAATAGCTCAAGCCCACCGTTAACAGATATTGTCCGCTTTGGCTCATTACGTATCTCCATTAGCCTCCCTGTTTTCTAAAACGCATCTACTAGGGAGAAGTTTCCACACTCTTGTAAGAAATGTTTCGTTCCCCTTTCCTTTCTCGTAAGAAAAATACTTTTGTGCCCCGAACTCACTCTTTTGCTTTTTGCTAAGACATCTAAGCAATTCTATTCTAATACATTCTACTTGAGGTATCAAATCCATTAATACCATGAGGCTAGAACAAAAGCATGGAAGACAGCAAGACAGAGAGTAGGCATACCTTGTAACTATGCTTTCTTCTGACAGCGCCTTCTCTAGCCTTTCCTCAAATGGTGTCGCATGCCAACTCACTTTCTGATCCTGCAAACAAGAAAACAATCTGTCAACTCACCATTCAAATAAAGGAAAATTTCAAAGAACAATAAAGAACTTACCTCCTTGTACTTATTGGTCGAATTTGGGATTCCATTTCCATCCCATTCCTTAGGTGAGATTTGAGCAGGTTCCTCCTCATTCCAATGAGCAGCAACCAACCCAATGATTGGCCTGTCCCCTGCACTTCTTCCACCACGAATTGGCCCATCTGCAGCCACACATTTCTTACCCTCCTCATCACGAGTAGGCTTCAACCAAGCAGACAAGCTTGCCTCCACCATCAAGTCCTTCTCATGTGTATTACCCTTCACATTCCTTTCTGGCATAGGTGTCATCATTTCAAGCTCTTGAATAGAATCTTTTTCCAGGTTAGATTTTTCTTCCTTCAGTGCCTTCAATTGAGCAGCACTCTCAACCGTGTTCGTAACTGAATAAACGTACTGAGACCTGATTCTTGCTTTTCTATGATCCAAGCTTTCTGGAAAAACTGTTCCAGGTGTTTGCATTTCGTCTGATAGCTGTAGAGGTGTTGGATGAGGTGATGACTTGAACAAATTTACTTTTTCTCTTCCACTTCCAGATGAACTTCGCCTGGGAGATTCGTTTATATCACATTCAAAACGTACGGATTTACTCTGGCATGTAGTCATTACATTATCAGGACTGTTAAGAGCAGCTATAGAGGTAATAACACTTCCAGTTTCACTGCCTTCAATGGCGTAAGCAGAGATTCTTTGAGGATTCTGTTCACTGGTAGTACAACTGTAATATCAACAAGCTCCATAATGTGAGACAGGTAGTACCAAGTTTTGTTAGAGTAATGTAATAACAATATTTAAAGATCAGATGATAAACAGCATACTATCTTGACCATAAAAGCCAATATATTCAACCAAATTGCACATTTTTCCTATCAAAAGTATTCAGGGTTCATCGGTTCTTGTTTAGATAGCTGAACGTTCATGGATAATCATTAGAAATATGTTGTTTCAGATATATATTACAACCTGCTAGGTGTACGTTCAGCAGAACCTGACTGATTTCGCCACTCTTCCATATGTTTAACAGGTGTACGAGGAAAATCTGGGTGTGTTTCAGGGGATGCATTTGGAAGTGACTCGTATTTCAAAAGCTCCAAAGCTCTGTTATCATGAGGGGAACCCAAAAGCTTGCTAGATGCTTTACGAATTTCAGTTGGGGTCTCCACTATAGTTCCACAAGCCTTAAGAAATTTGGCCTACAAATTAATGTCCATAACAACTGGTTAATGTCCATATCAATTATCTCCACTCTTTTATCTTCAACAAATGATAAGAGTTTTGAACCATTAAGTTCTGTTTGAACAGAGAAGCTCGTTCTCTAGTTCATGCCTTTCATTTCCCTAACTAATTACATACTGAAATCCAGCGATTGTCATCAAAATCAGCATACAGTGTAATTGAAGGTTGCATACCTCATCCTTCAACTCCTTGATGTACCTTGGAGATCCAATAGACTTGGAACCTGAATCCCTCCTAGGAGAATCTTCATTTTCTTTCATAGAACAAAACAAAAACATATAAATAAAACAAAAGAAAACATACAAGGAAGTAAGAATCCGCAGATTAGAATATACCTTCAGAGAGGAAAAGAGTTGATAAATGATTTCGAGCTACCACAGGCGCCTGCAGCATGAAATTGAAAGCGAGAAGTGATCAAAAAGCCATTTATCCATTTCCCTGATTCCCTCAGACACAAAGTAAACTAAAAAAGATAAAAAAAAAAGGAACAGTAGAATCTATTAATTTCCAACCAAAGCCAAATCAGCTACTTTATTCAGGAAAACAAGCAGATCGAAACTACATAAGCCCTAACGACATCAGAATGGAGGAGGAAGAACCTCGCGATACAAAGAAAAAGTACATAAAAGAAAAGGTTTAGAAAAAACAGAATCAGAACAGAATCTTCAAAAGAAACAGGGGAATAAACTTCCGATTTCATTTAATTTCTCCAAATTCGAATCAAACGAAGTGATTACAAAGTTCAAAAAGGAATGAAGACGAAGATTGAAAACCCACCCTGTATTTGGAACAAGAAGGATCAGAAACAAAGTGCCCTCGAGATCGATGGCGTTCGTCTCTGACTTTGAAGCAATCAAAGAAGCAACCCATTGCACTCGAAACCGATCGATCAAGAAACCCAATGAAATACCTGCAAAGAAACCCTAATTCACGCCTCAACTGAGAGCACATATCATTGATGATCGTCACACCAGCCAAAACGAAGAAACCCCACCCCCCCTTAAACCCAAACCACCGAAAGGCCCCAACAAAGCACAAAAATCGATTCTTTCTTTTTGGGTATTGCTTTTCTTTCAAATTTTCTTGTGGGGTTGTAAAATTTTTTTGTTTCCCAGTTGGGGATTTATGCAATCAGTGTAGAGGAGAAAGTTGATGAGTCGTTTTTTTTTTTCAAATTTGAATTTACAAAACGAGGGAAAGCTATTGGCCTCATTTCCTTTTCCCAACATTTTCATACTTGAATCTATTCATACTCGCTTCCACAAGATGACACGTGGAAAAAAGTAATTTTGATTTGGTAATAAAATAAACTATTTAGCTAGATTTGGACAAAATATTTATTGTCATAATAAATCCATTATTTTTTAAAATTTTTATAACGATTTTGTAACCTCCTAGTGCACCTATTAATATTTCTTCAAATTTATTCGGATTTAATGAGCAATTAAATAGGATGGAAATTCCAAATATATAAATTATCTTTTTTAAAATTAAAAAAAAAATAGTTTAATTTTAGGAGAAACATTAGAACTATCTTCCTTTTTTTTTTCATTTTATTTGTAAAAATTGTAAAGAAAAAAAAAAGAAATAAAGAGTAATTTTGTGGTTTAATGAATTTAATAGTAAAAAGAGGATGAGGTGGATCTTGTCAAACATTTTGATCATTAAAAAATTTAAGTGTACTTAGTCAACTATTTTATTTTTTTTAATCATAAATTCATTTGCATTATACAAAAGCATAACATTTTTAAAATTTTCGCTTTTTATTCTTGAGTTTTTTTTTTTAAAAAATACTTTTAAAATTTGAAGTTATTTAAAAAAAAAAAACTTTTTCGAAAATTTACAAATTTTTAAATAATTTAATCTAAAATAGATGTATATAAATATTTGCATAATTAGTGTAGAGAAAAAGAAGAAGAAAATTGATGGTTGATTTAATGAAAAAACAAAAGCTTGTATTAGTTCATGAATTTGGGATCCAAATCATATTGAATTTGAAATTCCCTTTTGCACTTATTTTTTTGCTCTAAATAAATCATTATTTCTTGACTTATCAACCTCAATTTTCACACTTTTTTTTTTAAAATAAAGAGTAATTAAAATATTAGCAATAAAAAATAATTTCTTTTATTTCATAATGCTCGTAGTGTGTTTCATTAAACGAAAAAATTATTTTGAATGGATGGTAAATTTTAAATTAATTTATAAATGTGAAGAAGTTCCTGCTATTTTTATTTACCGATTTCAAGAATTGTTAACTTGAGTATAGTTCATAATATTTATGGATTGAATTTGGTTAGATTGAAACATTGATGGGACTCAACTCAATTATTCGAATTATTTATTTAAATTTGTGTTCTTAATAAAATTAATATATATATTATTTTTTAATAGGAGTGGTTAATGAAAAATAATGAGGAAATTAAAAAAAAATAAAATAAAATATAGGTTTTGTAGTTATTTGTAATTATTAATTTACAGTAGGTATTGAAAAACAGTTGACCTTAAAAACTCCAAAAATATAAAATTTATAAAACCTTAAAAACTCCAAATAAATGAAAGTTAACAATAGATGCTTAGTTTTGATAGTGTTAACATCCCAACTAAACTTTTTGTTAAGTTGTTTGGAGTTATCAAAGCTTCCAAATTGGATGTCCCTCTCACTACTATTCTACCTCGAAGCAGAGGCCACAATCTGAGTGGCTCAAGTAAATTACTTTGTGGGAACAACAAAAATATGATATGGGGTCTTAACTCTGTCCACGAATCCCCCCCATGTGGGATCCTTGGGATTATTCAAGGGAAGAATTGCTTCTTCAAATCCCACCATAAACGACTTTACATTCATTATGGATGAAAGATTGGTAGTCACCCATTTACCCTGTTTGCTCTTTCTCTCTCTCTCTTTGAATCTCTCAGATAAAAGGCTTACAGAAAAGCTGCAAGAGGAGGAGAAGAAGAAAATTTGAGGGGGTTTTTGTGGGTGGCTGTGAAGAGAAGATGTCTGGTGTCAATGCTAACTCCCTGCTGAGCCCCATGCCAAGAATTAGCAGCAGCAGCAGCAGCAGGTCGAATGGGTGTAAGAAATTGAGTCTGTTTTCTTGTGGGGTTTTGGCATCCTCTGCTGCTGTAGCCAACCCTTCAAGATCCTCTGAAGAAAGGGTGTATGAAGTTGTTCTGAAACAAGCAGCTCTTGTGAGGGAGCTGCCTAAGAGGGATGGAGAAACAGCTTTGGATTGGGATAAAACCATACAAAATGAGGGTATTAGTGATGGGAATCTCTTGGATGAAGCATATTCTCGCTGTGGTGAGGTCTGTGCTGAGTATGCCAAAACATTTTATCTGGGTAAACTTTCCCCTCTTTGCTCTACTGCTTCATTTTTGTCTTGCCATTTTTCACTGTTGGGATATGAATTGTTTGGCTGCCATAACAATGGATCTGATAGTGATAATGGTGGAATGATAGTGATACAGATTGTGATAAAAAGAGGCATAGTTTTATTGTATCTCAACTCTTCATATTTATCAACTCTGTTTCTCAACCTGCAAATGATTGTTTGATTGAGCCTCTTTCTTGCTGTTCTCAGGGACACAGCTTATGACACCGGAGCGACGAAGAGCGGTGTGGGCGATTTACGGTATCAGTCATCCTCTTCCTCCAGCATCTTATCTTTTTGTCTACTGCAAACTTTGTCCATTTCTATAGAACAAGTTGGCTGTATTGCTCCATGTGGTGGTAGCCATGCTTTTCTGGTTGTTTTTGTTGATGATTCAGGTTTTTTTTCATAAGTTCTCGAACTTTAAAAATTGTACATTGGTCGTTTGATAACTGTTTGATTTTTGGTTTTTCGAAATTGTGTTTGTTTTCTTACCATTGTCTACCATAGTTTCGTCGTTCTTAAGAAAACATTTAACGTCTTAGATGAATTTTAATGTGCTACACAGACGTATCAGTCGTTTGCCATAGCAGTTCAGTGTTTTCTTTTTGATGTTATCTTCAGTTTTGAACATTCAAGAGTGTAACTATCTGTAATGCAGTTTGGTGCAGAAGGACGGACGAGCTCGTGGATGGACCTAATGCTTCACACATCACACCTAAGGCTCTTGAGCGATGGGAGAAACGACTAACCGATCTGTTTGAGGGTCGAGCGTATGATATGTATGATGCTGCTCTTTCTGATACAGTCTCAAAATACCCTGTTGACATTCAGGTAAACTCACTCCTTCCTTTGTGATATGAGAACTCTGGGCTGTCATGGTTAACAAATAATCAGATCTCAATAATTTAAAACGAGCAACGATGATTTAACTACTCTCATCATCGAGTAAAGATGGCTCACGTATGTTTCAATTCTCTTGGCTTGCAATTATACGTTGTGTTTCGACAGCCCTTCAAGGACATGATCGAAGGAATGAGGTTGGACTTGCGAAAATCGAGATACGAGAACTTCGACGAGCTTTACCTTTACTGCTATTATGTTGCTGGGACTGTGGGGCTCATGAGTGTTCCTGTCATGGGATTGGCACCCGAGTCGAAAGCTTCAGTTGAGAGCGTCTACAATGCAGCATTGGCTCTCGGACTCGCCAATCAACTCACTAACATTCTAAGAGACGTTGGAGAAGAGTAAGCTTTCTTCCACAATCTTAGCAACTAAAGTTACTTTTAACATTTACAAACTACAATGCCACAAGGAAATGTTTTCGAACTTAGCGATATGTTCTTGTTTGTTCGTATCTTTGAGGAGTTGGGTCACGTTTTGTTTTGACAGTGCTAGGAGGGGAAGAGTGTATCTCCCACAAGACGAGTTGGCACAAGCTGGGCTATGCGACGACGACATATTCCGAGGGAAAGTGACCGAAAAGTGGCGGAGTTTCATGAAAGGACAGATAAAAAGAGCAAGAATGTTCTTTGATGAGGCTGAGAAGGGCATTGGAGAGCTGAATGAAGCCAGTAGATGGCCAGTGTGGGCGTCCTTAATGCTTTATAAGCAAATATTAGATTCCATTGAAGCAAATGACTATGACAACTTCACCAAAAGGGCATATGTAGGCAAAGCAAAGAAATTGCTATCACTTCCCATAGCCTTTGGAAAAGCTGTGGTGGCCCCTCAAATTTCAAAGATGTGGTAACATCATAGTTTTTTTTTTTTTTTTTTTTTTTTTTTTT